TGGGAGAGGAGGGGGGGGGGGGGGGGTCTGAAACAGCTCCTGCTGTATTCTCTCTTTAGAATAGAAAAAAGACACTTATGTACAAAGCTCAACAAAGGAAGCTAAGGTTACACACACGGCTGAAGTGACTTATCCCTCCCTCCCTGTTCTGTAGGGATATGAGGTAGGGATTTGTAGGGTCAAAGTATCACTATGACTATCAGTGAGAGAGGGTCTGAAAGGAAACAGCTCTTGCTGTATTCTCTCTTTAGAAAAGAAAAAAAGACACTTATGTACAAAGCTCAACAACGGAAGCTCAGGTTACACACACAGCTGAAGTGACTCACCCCTCCCTCCCTGTTCAGTAGGGCTTTGTAGGGTCACGGTATCACTATCACTATCAGAGAGAGAGTCTGAAAAGAAACAGTTCCTGCCGTATCCTCTCTTTAGAAAACCTATAGGAAGACAGCGTCATCCTGTATTAAATGTTTGTTCGCAAAACAACAATTTTATATACTGCAAATAGAAGGAAAAACAAGAACCTGAAAATATAAATACTTACAAATAAATGAAAACACCGCAAAACTATTATGTTTTTTTTTTAGCTCATCAGCGTGCACCTCCACAGGGACGCCATCTTGATCCATTAGCCATGAATAAATATAGGAACGTATATAAATATAGACATTTCCTTGGCCGGCACAGCGTTACGGAAATTAACACATGTTATTGGCGACATTTAAAGGGTGAAATCCAAAGAATGGAGACTAAAGACCTCATAACACTTATCGCAATTAGATTCATAACAACACAAGGTCCTGGCAGTGATTCCCACGTTAACATATTAAAAAATAATAAAGAGGAAGAACATAAAATAAAGATGTAAACTACAGACATCAACCGCTTTTTCCACACAGCCTATTGTTTCTCAGTGAGCTATTATTTACTATTACACACCACAGTCCCCGTTTCATCATGGCGGTGGCCGGAGCTGACGGTCGGAGGTATGAGTAATGAGGGGGTTGGTGTTGCCATGGAAACCGCTCTAGGCCTCTATTCACACACACACTCAGAGCTGATTTTAATGAATAAGCCTACAAGTCCTCTGCAAGCAAATGAAGATATATGCCGGAGAATGCTTTTCAACACAAAAACCAAAGCCAGAAAAAAAATGCAGATTTTTATCTCAAAAACAAATTCATTTTTTTTTTACTATGTACGCTCCATTATAAGTGCATTTAAAGAAAAAAAATCTATGTACATTTCTGGAAAAAAACCACCTAATTTATTTTTTATTTTTACTGGAAACGCAGAGATATTACTGATATGAGATATAGTTATAGGATACTGTTTGTGGGGTTTATAATATTGATTATTGCATAATAACATAATTATTATATAAAATAATTATAACAATATTAATATATAATAATTATTAACAATAATAAAAAAAATATGAATTGTGGCAATATAAAATTGTAATATGTATTATTATTAGTAATAATACTAATAATAATATTCCACTTCATATTATAATTAAGAATACTAATATTATACTTCAACAATCCATATTGTTATGTTATTATGATTATCATTGTTGTTAATATAAATGATACTAATAACAACAACAATAATATGTCTGTGAAGGTTCTCATTCATCCAGGTCATGGTATATCAAATTGGGATTACATCTACTTTAACCCCGTACCATTCTGAACTTTTTTTTGTGATAGCGGTCCTTTAATTCTGGATTTAAAGCAGAACTATACTCACCTACCCTCCAGCGGTGCAAGGTCAGAGAGGGCCCTCGCTGACATTGACATCTTCACCCAGTCTTCTTCTGGGATCGGCTGGATCCTGGAAGGATGGTCCACCTCGATTGGCCATGTGTGGGAGTTAATTTATCCCAGCATATGCCGAAATTGTGCAACTCAGTGTATAACTGTTTATTATTAGTATACAGGATTTATATAGCGCAACAGTTTGCCCAGCGCTTTACAATATAAGGAAGACATTACAATCACAATACAATTCAAGACAAGATGGTAAGGAGGGCCCTGCCCCTGAGGGCTTACAATATAAAAGGGGGGTATGACAGGAAGACACACAGGTAGGTAAGAGTCCTTTATTGCAGAAGAGACATAGGGGTCGATTTATAAACAATTCACAGGGTGCTTCATCCTGCAAATACCTGCGAATGTTCATTTTGGGCAAATGATGCTAAAAACGAATGTTCTTCATATATTGTCCCCAGTTCGAATGTAGTGTTGTAATATTACATTATGGCCACTAGATGGAGCTGTTTCCAGTTCTAATGTAGTGTGTTTTAATAACACATTATGGCCAATAGATGGGGCTGAGGAGCACTGGAAATAAGTATTTACTTCCCATACACATCAGATCCCATATAGAGACCATTATTTACTATTATAACACAATACATTTTAACCGGAAACAGCTCCACCTAGAGGCCATAATATACTATTACAACACTACATTCAAACTGTGAAAAATATTATTAAGAGCATTCGTTACTTTATGCATTATTCACCGAAAACAAACATTCACAGGGCAAACTGTTTATAAATAGACCCCCACAATATGTCTCTTTTGCAAAAAAAAACCCTAGCCTGCCTGGTCACCCTTTTTGTTTAAATTTAACTTAAAGTCCACTTTAATAAAGAGTAATTGTAACAGATCAGAATCCAAATCCTCACAAAGATCCCATTAAAATTCCTTTTAGACGCTTTGATACCCCAGGCCCAATTCCCTTTTATACATGGAAAGACACGCTCAAGTTTTAATTCAAAGTTCAGCCTTTAAATGCGCAGGTTTGTGCTGCTGCCGCTGTACCAGAAAGCAATTCTGATTACCCTGCGGGCCTGGAATATGGTTCATTTGTACTGTCCCCGGATGGCGTTTTTTCAGTCCATCAGTTTGACTTGCTGATTAATTTGTGGCAGAGGCACTGCTAGATGTTTCGGTCTGATCATCTGCCAGGGAATAAAGCTCCCGCAGATGAAGCATCGTCCAAACCCTCCCAAGAAAATTCACAGCTGGTCTTGTGAAGGAGGATAATGTATGAGCAATCTAAGACAGGCATGACCTATACCGTACCCTGGGCTCTTACAAACACAACCACGGTGACTCCTGTCATTTTATGGAGGCAGTTCACGTAGAGGGGGTGGATGGCTCTTTAAAATGTGACATTGAAAAAAAATTGCTTTGGTGGATATTTTTAGCTTGGGGATTAAGGCAAATCTTTTGGCCTTCTCCCCAACCCAAAGACACGCCTCTTCCCAGATTTAAAATTACGTGAATTGGATGGTCATGGTTTGTGATGGCCTTCAGATTCTCTGGTCAAAATTGTGTTTTTCATTGGCTGGACCTGCGCTCTTCATAGATTTCTTTGGGTCTCCCAATATGAAATGTCCAGGAGACATTCCCATAGAAGCCTATGGGTTCCAATGTGCAAGCGGCCAGCATAAAGAAGATTGTGGATGAAGATCATAGTGGGCAGTGTCTGCTTCAGGTAAGTTTACCTCTGGTGGGGACGGGCAGGGCAGGGGGGTTCCTTTAGATCGTAGTGGGGCAAAAGGATAACTGCACCTTGTAAATAAGTAAAATTCATATAGTTGCACAGACAATTTATCCTGAACTAATCCACTATTATTAAAACTTAATTACAAGCAGGTATAAAACCAAACACCAATTATTGAAGTTAATGATTACTTTTACAAAGCGCTACATGTATTTGTAAATGCAACTGGCGTGAGTACCTGAACTTGGCCTGGATAAGTAACTATTTTTGGTATCAGCCTGCAGGGAAGAACATGGATTGGGTGAGGTATGCTGCCAAATCAGCTGCTAAAGAGCTCTATGCATTTTCACACACTGGACAAAATGGGATCCAATTTCAAGCCATCACAGTCCTGATACATGTAGGGCTGCAACCAACTAATCGATAATAATTGATGACAATAGTGGTCAACTATTCTCATTATCGATTAGTTGGTTGGATCCCCAGCGGGATGAGGTATGCCGCTAGGTCCACTCCTCTCTCCTGACACTGTCAGGCTCTTGGTCCATGACCCGAGTGCCCGACTTTTTAGAGGGGGTGACACCAAAATAACAGTCAGTCATTTTGCTGTCACCCCTCCAATGGTGTCACCCGGGTGCGGGCCGCACCTCCCTTGTGACGCCACTGCTTATATGTATTTCAATTGGTTATGAAGTTGTTTGCATGAAGTTCAGCTTTAGATGCTTTTTAAAAATTTCCATTGCTCTCTTCTCTATAATCCCCTGCCATAGCCTATCTCCATTTTCATCGTGTAAGGAACGGATAGCTTCATGTATGACAAGCTGCCCGAAGAGGTCACATCAGAGGGAAATCAAAGCCTTGTTTAAAATTCAGCTGCTCGTCTGCCTCACAGCACAGCATACAAACCAACCATGATCTGCTCCCATAGCACCAATTTTTTGATCCCTCCATCGGCTGACTGTCAAAATGGAGAATTTCCTTCAAAATCAGACAACAGATACCCTGAGGTTCCCTTAAAGCAAACCTTTCCTTTACTGATGTTTACAGAAACGGCTGCCAATCATAAACAGCTAACGGATGTATAATCGATGAACGAAACTTCTGCTCCGGTCTATCTCCAGAGACCCAGTCATTTCCCCACTGAGAGCCATTATCATGTCTCTCACATAGCATACAGAAGGTGAAGGCAGGCTGTCAATCACAGCCCGCATGTCAAAGACTCCTCTGACCTTACGGTGACAGTCAATGCAGGGGATCTGTGGCTGTGCATGCAGTTTGCTCAGCACAAAGATTTCTCAACATGGTGGGAAATGTACATTTGGAAAAGAGCAATTCTGGCTTTTGCAAAATACATGGTATTGTGCTTTAAGGGGCGTAATAATGTAAAATAAAATTTGTATGCAATTCTTTATCATTATGATCAGGCCAAGAAAAGAAAACCAATGTGTCTTTGGTCAGGTAAATATGACATCATGAATTGCATATTAACATATTGTTTTTCTATTTTGAGCCACAAGATCGAAGAAGAACCCCAGAAAATTTAAAATCTTACCCTTGCAGTGGGATCTCCCTTGTACTGCAAAGGGTTAAGTGCTCATTTTGTCTAGGAGAATCAATAAACCAGATATACTCACCTGATCCTCGGTCAGCACTCACCTCTCTCCCCTCCGCTCCGGACTGTCCCTTGGCATCCTCACGTCAAATGCAAGTCGATGGGCCTGCATTTGATTTGATGACATCAGTGGTCCTTAGACCACTGGAGCCCAGGGGAGAAGAGACTGTGGGGACCGGTCTAGCAGCCTAGTGGGAACGAGCATCTGGTGAGTATATCTGCTTAATTTGACTTGCGTAGACAAAATGAGCACATAACCCTTGTAGTCCATGCTTAGCCCCACTGCAAGTGTACATTTTTTTACATTTCTGCCGTTCTTCTTCAAGCTCTAGGCTAATTTTCACTTTATCTGCGGTAAAACGCCTGTTAGTCTACAGAACTCAGTAGCTCAAGCTGAATTTACTCAAAATGGCTCCATAAAAATGTTTTGAGAAAGTAAGCAGCTCCTGCTGTGTCCTAGAATCCCATAGTGCTCTGAGAATTATGTGCCATGAGTGTATGATGTAATAAACGTTTATTTGTGAAACAGATCTTATAAATGATAAAATATAAAACATCAGTTCAAATAACATAGCATAAAACCCACCTAAAACCATGATGGTTTCAAGAATTAAAATGACACAGCCCTACAATAATGTCACAAGAAATATTGGTATCAGACATCACTTGCAACCATTGCAACCTTAGTACTGGTCAATGCTGCCACAATGTCACATAGCACCGTGGAGATAAGAGCCATTACCTGGAGATACACAAGCTTCCTGTTCTGAGTGTTGGCGGAAATTGAGAGGAGAGGGCAGGGCGTTGTCTTGCAGACGAGCTGCAAGAGACATTCTGGAAAAAGGACCTAGCAAAGACATGTATGGTGCATCAGTATACATAATGATTATACAAAGATTACCAGCTTGTCACCTACACACAGAAGGGAGCAGCCATTTGTATGCTGAACCAACATTCATGGAAAGGTATCCAACCAACTGACTAGGGTTCCTATTTTTCTGCAGCCTATGCCATCTGCCTTTGCAAGGTCTTTTCCTGAATTCTACAGGCCCTGACCATTGCTGGTTCTTTTTGTAAGAGGGGTTACATACCGGTAGTTGGAGTCACAGGCTGTGTCTTATATCCTACATGGCTGTGGCTTTAATCCCCCATTCTTTGATTGTCTTCAGCTTACCCCATCATTTGCTAGTAGACTCTGCTTGAATGCTACCTGGCCTGACCACTGCTTGTTCTATTGTTTGCAGTAGTTACAGAGTTGGAGTCAAGGGGCTTGTCTTGTATCTTGCTCCTTGGTTCCAGCGAGTGATGTTATGCCGCTGTCTTACTTCTCCTTTCCTGACTGTTTACAGCCTACGCCATCAATTGCCTGTGCGGCGCCTTTGCCCAAATTCCACTTCCCTGACCACTGCTTGTCCTATTTGTAAACGCCATTACAGAGCTAGAGTCAGGGACCTGTCTTCTATTTTGCATTGCAGCTTTAGAATGTGAAGCTATGTCACTGTCTTCACTCCCCGTTTCCTGACTGTCTGTAGCCTACATATTAATTTGCCTGTGTGATGACTGCCTGAATGCTACCTGCCCTGACCGCTGCTCGCTTTTCATTTTAGAGGGGATGCAGAGTTGAGAGTTAGGTGCCTTGCTTTGATCCTGTACTGTGTCCATAGTATGTGATGCTATTCTAGCTAGTCTTTACTTACCCCTCCAATTGCCTACCCCATTAATAACCCTTCTGCTTGTTAGAGGGGTTACAGATTTGGGGTTAGGGGCCTTGTATCTTGGAGCAGCCCTGAAGTAAGAAGCTACATCACAATGGTTTCAGTTGAAATTCCCTGTATATTTTCCTTAAGAATTCTGGTGATTGATGAGGCTTCCATTGTATGCTATAACATTTGAAAACAAGGAAGTCTGAAAATTTCTAAATTAGCTTGGAGATTCCACTCAATTTTGGTGGCAAAGCCACCGACGGGTCCCATGCAAATGTAATTTGTATTGTTTCGGCCTACAAGTTGGCTGTCTCCACTGTGTCTAGTGAACAGGTGCATATTACCTTGTGTATTATTGTTGCAAATGGTCAAGGCACTGTTATCCTAAATTGGTGCACAGCATCCGACTCTCATTACTTCATAACCCGCTGCAATAACTCAACAAAGACTCAACGATCATTAAAAAAAAGACCACGAATGACCTCTGTCCACCCAGCCAATACACAGCCAAAACCAATGACCACAGAAGCACCACTACAACCATCATAAAACAAAATGAGAGCCATAGAACACACACAATGCGCCAGGACAAAACAATTCTGCGAGTTTTCCAATACACAGACAAAGACAAAACTAAGCTTTGTGAATTGACCTGTTTACGGATGACCACAAAACCTCACTATGCGACACAAACTCCATCGCTAAGAATTGTGGAAAACGACTGGCAGGTCAGAGACGATGGCTAAAGCACACAAATACCTCACGGAAAAGTTATAGTATGCACTGAAGCTCATGAGTAAAAAAAGGCTGAGGTTTGGAAAATAAAAGGAAGAATCTGATTAGCAATATAGCAACTCCGAAACTCTGCTTGGCACCACACACAATGGAGTGCACATTACACAAAGATACAAAGGAACAAACCTCACACCACAGAACTCCACTGGACACCGTATTTTATGTTTACCCGCTTGGAGACCTGGAGGGATTGGCTTACTCAAAAATGACTGGAGTTCTATCAGATTTTGGCACAATCGCTTTGGGCCAAACCTCGAGGAGGTGGCAGTTAGACGAATGAGACAAACTGACAGATTTGTGGCGTATCAATTAGAGACTTTGCTGATGGGTTTTTGTTTGTGTCAGAACTGCTTTTCTCCTCATACAAGTCAATGGGAATTAAAATGTGGATCTGAAGATATCTGAAGATAAGGGCTGTTGCTTTCACACAAAGGTCTATCTCCATTAATCTGTTACACCACCCTGCATAATCACAACTAGTGGTTGCCAATAAGCAGGGAGCGTGAGCCTTGCTGACTGGACAGCAGTAGTTGTATCTGAGCATGGGATGTGTTAGACTGATGGACATAGACCACCATGTATGAGAGCGGTGGTCCTTATAGTCAGCTTTCTGTAAGGATTCTCACTTTTGGGCTGGCACTGGTGTGCATTTTCATCTCTGTGTTGTGGTGCGCTGTAATGCAGGTGAGTATTGATCTACTGTACATGTACGTTGGGGTGCCATTCAGAATGAATGGCTTGCACTGCAGCCTACATATGCCCTGTGTTACCGTATAACAAAACAAGGGTGGTGTGAATCCAGCTTAAGACTAGTAAGCTGACAGTAGATATAGAAAGAAGACACCTAGTGGATCCCTTAAGTGGTTTCACATACCTTGCAAAGAACTCCAGAAGCCCCAAAAACCAGGGAGCTCTGTTATAGTAAACCCATTTACAGTTTCAAAAAAGAAAGCATGCCCAGCTCCTTCCTGTACCTTAATATTGGTTCATTCCAGCGATGCACAGCCTCATTGACCAATAGTGAAGTCCTTGGACTGGGGTCCAACTACAGAACTGAAGTCAGTATTTTTTTAAAAGAGCACCATGGGCAAAATATTTTAAATGTGTGTGTTTCCATGTCTGCTGCCAGGTACTAGCATTAAAGGTTCACTTCAAGATCTGACTTCTGGATCAGCACTTGAAATGTCTCTCCACCAACCCTGTTTTAATACAGAGAGGGTACGGAGTATATACTCACTTTCTACTCACTCTCATGCCATTCTTTTTGCCTGCTGGAGCAAAGCCTGATACATCAGGGTATAGGAGTGAATGCGTCTCTCGCCCCTGCCTCCCCATAATGTAGAGCTCAGTGAATAACCAGTCAAGCTGTAGGATCCTTAACCTCAATTCCTATCCCCAATTCCCCTTTCAATTCCCTTAATTGTATTAGAATGTATGTATAACCCTATTTGTAAATAAACCCAACACTTATTTAAGATTCAGTTGTTCATCAGTAATTTAAGGCACCCCCAAATCAGAGCACATTCTACAGTCACCAGGACTAAGTGCTGTCATGTGGGGTCAGTAAAGGGGTTCCTTGGCCTGTGTAAGCTGTGAGCTAGTGTCAGGCTGGTACTCTACACATTTAAAGGGGGCTCCAGCAGGGGTGGTATGGGGAGCACATATCTTTGTGACCCTCTGTGGCCTAAACTAAACCTGTCACCTGGCCCTCAATAGGCAGAGTACTGATTTGCTTTAGGCCCTATCAATTACTGCTAATCCTTGTGTCATGTGTCATCTTTATAGCACCTTTTCCTTAAACTACACTATATGGCCAAAAGTATGTGGACACCCCCTCGAAATAATGGAGTTCAGGTGTTTCCAGTGAAGGATATTGTTAATGTTATAGCATACAAAGACACTTGTGCGCTTACAATCTTGTGGTAACAGTTTGGTGAAGGCTCTTTTCTGTTCTAGCATGACCGTGCCTGTTTTAAAGTCAGGTCTATAAAGACATGGTTAAGAGTCTCAAGCGGTCTGAACAAAGCCTTAAAGTGAGACTAAACTCAGGAGTTAGATGAACTACTCACTACTTTACAACACACACGGACTATGGGGAAAAAAAGTAGCCACCATGAAGAAGGAAGGACAGTGTCAGCACCAATTCAGAGATGATTGGAGGATCTACAGCCGAGTGATACACAAATAAAATACATTTTTGTTAATAGTTAAGGCAGTTGAATGCATTTGTAATATTTAACTCCTAAGTTTAGTGTCACTTTAATGCTATCCCCATTTGGCATGAGTTGGAATGCCGATTGTGAGCTAGATCGTCTCATCCAAATTCAGTACCTGACTTCACAAATTTTCTTTTCGCTAAACGGCACAAAAATCTTGTGGAAAGTATTCCCAGAACAAAGGGGGCTGCTACAGCTGCAGGGGGGGG